AGAATGTTTACGGATCCATTAACCCTCTCCGTTCTAGATGGTTTATCACTGCATTCCAAAGATAAAAATGTACAATCCAAATCAGGCACATTACGTACCCAGCATGTCTCACTATTGAATGATGAATTATTCTATGCATTGGATGCACACATTGGAGTTTTCTCACCTTATGTAATTTTTTATTCTTTTCTGTATTTGATTTTGGCTATTAATGAGGGTGTAAACTATTCCCCTAGTAGACAGCACAGCATTGCAGGCCTGATGACCCTCATCCACTTCAGGATCAGCCTATCTCCTTCCAATTGTTTCATCAACTGCCTGACTGGTTGCTCACACCTGACAAGTGACAAGCCTCAGACTCCTGCTGACTAGATAATCAAAGTCTTGTCAGAGCTGTCAATACCCTGCAGATAGGAAAGGACAAAAGAGAGGAAAGGTTTCTACAGAAACCGCTGCCTTTCACAAAAATACCAGAGACTTCTTTTTTTTCCATAGGCGTCACCTGCTTCATGTACAACATTCTGTTCTTACTAATAAAGATACCAACTACCATGATCGTATTGATACATATTGTTATTTGGAGATACATTTCTTCCACCTCCTGGGAAGTGAAGCACTCACTGTTATTGTATTACAGATGTTGTCAGGAAAAGAATCATCACTTCAAATACTGACTTTTCATGTTAGGAATCGTGATTAAAACAAACTTATAAAAAATAAAAAAAATTCTTACCTGATTATGCCATAAGTAGTTTTTGTTTTTTCTAAGCACTTGAATGAAACATTGAAAAAAATATGTGTGAACTCTAGGAGTCAGACATACATATGTAAGATTAAACCTGAACTAATGACCTGTGGATTCATATAGTTTTGTATCAAATGCCTCGTCGCTTCCTATGGACAGCAGTTCCATTTAAAATGACAATCCACAAAATTACTTGGTGACATTTTAAAGGAAATATTATTTAATCTATACATGGTGCTACCGAAAAGGGTAACAAATGCAACATTGAAATTTTCTTGAAGATTCATTTATATACCTCACTGTGTGATGTTGCTTGTGAACTTGATTTGCGCCTGCAACCATGCCTTCCATTACCCTACACCAATTAAGATTGAGTAGTAGGAAGCAAATCTTCAGATACTCTTTCTGCACAATGGTCTATTTTAGATACATTTTTGCCCCGCTCGTTTATGTTATCTTTCCTCCACCTTTACAAAATGTCCCTTTTCGATTTACAGGTGTTTGCCATGTGTCACAACATATCCGGGTTTCTTGGTAAAACAGATGTGGCTTCCTTACTTTGAAATTGTATTAATTCAGTACTCTATGTATGGCATAGGATTTCATGAATACAATTTTATATGAAACATCAGATACCCAGGAAATATAAACCCTTGATAGTAGCAGAAGTGAAGATTCATATAACAAGTAGTTAAATGTTAGAACTAAGTCCAGGGGTACAACGATACGATTTTAAGGATAAATCTTAGAATCCAGCAAACTGTTTGATTATTTATTAAAAAATAAAATCATAAAATGATTTTTGATTTCAGCCATCAAGGACAGAGATTGACCTCCTTGCTATTGGTACATTTATATATGTCTTATTTTTTTTTATTTGTATTTTTTAGGCCTATAGCATTTGTTACTCACAATATGAAAGAAAAACCTGCTATTAATAATCTCTATCAATGGCTCAGAAAGCCTGTGCTATACAAGGCTCCTTTCCCCTGCCATTTCGATGGGACTATTAATGTTAAATAAGTAAAGTTTAATGATATCCTCACTATAACTGCAGATGAATTCAAAAGTTAAAATTACATTAAAAATGACCTCTATCTATTTTATGTTGATCATTAACTGGGAATATTTCACACTGGAGATTTGTCATATTAAGGAGAATTGAAATCGCTTATATCAATTAACTATATTATATCTACAGTAATCTCTTCATAGATTACTGAAATACGTTTGATAGTTACAGAGGCATTTTAAATCAAGACTAAACAGCCCTTATAATAAAAAATAAAAAATAAAACACAGCTAGGACTATCAGTTGCAATACACATTTATTTCTGCTTTTTTTTTCCCCCTGCAATTAGTTCACCTCTGTTTAAATAGTAATTGTATAGGTAGGAACCCAATATAAGACACCCATAAAAAGCATAATTAAAATATATTAGTTTAGTCACAAGACATTCACTGGATAATAGTATGCAGCACGCTCCCTTCTTTACCTCAACATTAACCTGTTCATTGATAAAAGAGTCTGCTAAATTAGGCCACATGAGTGGGACAAATGACAAAGGTCATAACAGAATCATTTGTATGTCCTCATAACGTATGTATGTAGCAATGGCCAATAGATCCCTTTATATGTAAATTATTTAAAATGATAATATACTCCAATATTACAAAGGATCAGTAAACCAAACAATAAATTGAATCAATTTTAGGGCATCTTCTGTTGATTTAACATGTAAATTAACTTTTTTTTTCATTCTCTGTCGCAGTTAGCATTTTAAAAAATTTGTATTTATTTTTTTTATTTAATTTTTTTGCCGTGCATAAGATTTTTACATGCAAGCGTGGGGTACCCCAACAGCAATCCTTAGGCATAGCATTCCTCAGTATATTTGGGATAATAGAGAAGGAACGAGTCAGTATAGTATAGCTAAGCAATGTAGTAGCACTTAAACAGGTTTAAAGCTGCCTTATTGGTAAAGCTAAAAATTTTAACCTTTACTGCTCTTTTTTAAATGGTAAGGGAAGATGCATGAAGAGAATCCAGCTAGACAAGCATGTTGAAGTGTCATTGCCAAGTGTGGTAAATGCACAATTCCTGACGGGCAATGAAACATATGTAAAAATTGATACGCTTAAGTATCTTGTGCTTAAACTATATATGTGTGAAGTATCCACTGAATGTAAAGACATGAACATTTCTGTACTGTCGGTTCACTCTAGGTAAAATAGGAAAAACCAAGGTTAAAACGAATTAAGCAAAGACATTAACAGTAGCAGTTGACATGAGTGAGAAACAGCTCCTTGTGGGGAGAGCCAGGCCTGTTTCAACCGATCCCCCTGTGTGGCCAGATGGTACTGCGACCAGGAGAATCTATTATGTGGGCCAAGCAGTAGCATCAGAGCGGGACTCCCCTCCAGCCCCGGGCGTGATAGGGGGCCTGCAGTCCTGGTGTCTGCTGCGAGCCAGGACTTTCACCAGCTGGGGGTGTGCCGGGGATGGTGGTGGAGGTAGCCACCGTCGGCGGGTGATCTTCAGCCTTTGTGGGAAATGCTGTGAGGTAAGTCCTCGGGAGGCTCTTGGCCCGGAAGTAGATGGGTGCTATTGTAGTAGGGTTGCCCGGAAGGGGTCTGCTCCTCTTTGGCTGCATGCTTTTTGGCTTGGTGGTCCTAATTTCAGGTATAGTAGTCTCCCTGCTGTCCTTGAGCTTCTTCTAGAAATCTTGGAATATTTCCTCCAGCCGAAGTAGGCTATTTGCCATGAAGCTGTGTTGGTGCTACCCATGTGGGCTTGGGCCCTGTGTACCCAGAGGAACGGCGGGCGCCATTTTGATGAGTCGTTACTTCTAAGATGTAACCAAATGTCCATTATAAACAAGAGGTGAGTGCGTCAGTAGTAGCTTGAAACTGATTAGTGGAGACTAGGATATCCCCCACCGGTTCAGAGGGGGTGGGAGATGTAGGAGCAGAGTCGATCAGCCTGTCAGGATGGCCTGCAGGGAAATCGGCCACCTTAACGTGCTGCTGCGTGCCCCCAGCACCGATACCTCTCATGAAAGGTGTCAGTGGGTTCATTGCTGCATCGCTCTAATTTTATACATGTTAGGAACACACAGTCATTAATGGTGCTCCCCTACTGGGTCAGCCAACATGTCACAGGCTGTGTCATTGTTCCAACCTAGAATAAGGCTGAGTTAGGTTTCAATCAATCTTAATGCAATGTTTATATGCAATCTACTAATTACGTACAAGTGTGTGCACATTTATTTTGCCATAATCCCTGCCAGAAGATCTCTGGACCAGTAGCAACCTAGCTCAACCTTTTCCATATTGTGAGCTTTGCTCTTTGTATGACTCTCTAACCTGCCAGTAGGGGGACACCACTGTCAGAAAAGGTTTGTTACTAAAAATGATACACACAATGGAATCCTCCAACATCAAGCTAAGTGCTAATGTTGCAACATTGGAGGGTGAAATTCTATAACAATTTAATCAACAGGAAACTACCTGCCTCATAGAGATATATTGCAGTATGGTCCCTACATGGCAGATGTGCCCACCCTCCCCTTTTTAAACTGTGGTCCATGATAAACCCAATTATGTATCTAACCCTATAGTCTATATCCAAACTGTAAGATCTCAGGTCAAAACAGTCAACTTTGATATGATCTCGAGCTTTGCTCTTTTGTCCTGAGTTTTGCCACGCTCTGGCAAACGCTATAAGAGTTATGTAGCATGCAGTTTTGTAGCAAAGTTCTAAAAGTGTAGCAGTCACCATGGAAACTAATGGACTTTTCTTACTGCCTGCCACACTTTTAGCACCTAGACCAGAATTGTGCTTTACACATACAGTTGCAAGAAAAAGTATGTGAACCCTTTGGAATGATATGGATTTCTGCACAAATTGGTCATAAAATGTGATCTGATCATCATCTAAGTCACAACAATAGACAATCACAGTCTGCTTCAACTAATAACACACAAAGAATGAAATGTTGCCATGTTTTTATTGAACACACCATGTAAACATTCACAGTGCAGGTGGAAAAAGTATGTGAACCCTTGGATTTAATAACTGGTTGAACCTCCTTTGGCAGCAATAACTTCAACCAAACGTTTCCTGTAGTTGCAGATCAGACGTGCACAACGTTCAGGGGTAATTCTTGACCATTCCTCTTTACAGAACTGTTTCAGTTCAGCAATATTCTTTGGATGGCTGGTGTGAATCGCTTTCTTGAGGTCATGCTACAGCATCTCAATCGGGTTGAGGTCAGGACTCTGACTGGGCCACTTCAGAAGGTGTATTTTCTTCTGTTTAAACCATTCTGTTGTTGATTTACTTCTATGCTTTGGGTCATTGTCCTGTTGCAACACCCATCTTCTGTTGAGCTTCAGCTAGTAGACAGATGGCCTTAAGTTCTCCTGCAAAATGTCTTGATAAACTTGGGAATTCATTTTTCCTTCGATGATAGCAATCCGTCCAGGCCCTGACGCAGCAAAGCAGCCCCAAACCATGATGCCCCCACCACCATACTTCACAGTTGGGATGAGGTTTTGATGTTGGTGTGCTGTGCCTTTTTTTCGCCACACATAGTGTTGTGTGTTTCTTCCAAACAACTCAACTTTGGTTTCATCTGTCCACAGAATATTTTGCCAGTACTGCTGTGGAACATCCAGGTGCTCTTGTGCAAACTGTAAACGTGCAGCAATATTTTGTTTGGACAGCAGTGGCTTCCTCTGTGGTATCCTCCCATGAAATCCATTCTTGTTTAGTGTTTTACGTATTGTAGATTCGCTAACAGGGATGTTAGCATTTGCCAGTGACTTTTGTAAGTCTTTAGCTGACACTCTAGGATTCTTCTTCACCTCATTGAGCAGTCTGCGCTGTGCTCTTGCAGTCATCTTTACAGGACGGCCACTCCTAGGAAGAGTAGCAGCAGTGCTGAACTTTCTCCATTTATAGACAATTTGTCTTACCATGGACTGATGAACAGCAAGGCTTTTGGAGATACTTTTATAACCCTTTCCAGCTTTATGCAAGTCAACAATTCTTAATCGTAGGTCTTCTGAGAGCTCTTCTTGTGCGAGGCATCATTCACATCAGGCAATGCTTCTTGAGAAAAGTAAACCCAGAACTGGTGTGTGTTTTTATAGGGCAGGGCAGCTGTAACCAACACTTCCAATCTCATTTCATTGATTGGACTCCAGTTGGCTGACATCTCATTCCAATTAGCTCTTGGAGATGTCATTAGTCTAGGGGTTCACATACTTTTTCCACCTGCACTGTGAATGTTTACATGGTGTGTTCAATAAAAACATGGCAACATTTTATTCTTTGTGTGTTATTAGTTTAAGCAGACTGTGATTGTCTATTGTTGTGACTTAGATGATGATCAGATCACATTTTATGACCAATTTGTGCAGAAATCCATATCATTCCAAAGGGTTCACATACTTTTTCTTGCAACTGTAAGTTGCAATGTTTATCAATAATCCCCATGATGTTTAAATTACGCACTCCTGTCTTCTAAAGAAAACTATCCATATCATAAACTGGCACAGTATATGATAAGGTTAATTCAGGGTAATTTAGAAATATGTGTGTCTTCACACAAATAAATATCCTGTAAATTCTAGCAACAATATGTTTGTCATCACCGCTTGAAAAATATCAAGTGTTTTCAGACGTATTATTATTTTATTATTTATATAGCGCCATCAGATTCTGTAGCGCTGTACAATGGGTGGACTAACAGACATGTAATTGTAACCAGACAACTGTCCGTACAGGAACAGAGAGGTGGAGGGCCCTGCTCAATGAGCTTACATTCTAGAGGTCCAAATGGTTTGTTCAAAGGTCTTAATAATATCAATAAAATATCTTATCACTTTATTGAGCAGAATTATATGAAAGGGAGTAAACTGTCCGCTCTTTGGAAAAGAGTGGTAGTTGGCCTGACGTTTTGATTGCAAGCTTTGTAGAAAAGAGGGGGTGGGTGCAAGGTATGTTTGAGAAACGTACAATTTTATCACTTGCATATTACAAACCATATTACTCAACTCGAGTGAGATGTTACTGCTATTAAGTGGAATCCTAGCTTGTAAACTTGGTCCCAAGTGCATAGCATTGATCCTTAGCTATTTTAATGCATTTTTTACTGACCAACACATCCAGTGATAGAGAATATTGCCAAAATTAGTTATCTGATCGGTCCTTTTGATTAATGATGTGACCGTGCTTCGTTACACATGACAGCATTGTCTGTATAATCACATACATACACAACGGAGTTACCGTTTCCTTATATTCAAGCTTAATTTCCAAAATAATTTCCTGGGCTGATCTCAAGTTGTAATTTATATGACAGAGGATCTTTTTTTTTTTTTTTTCTCTACGCAAAGTGTTGTAGTGTGTCAGAAACAGCAAAGGAAACAAGGTGAACTATCTATACAAATCAATGTCTTGTGGCTCAAGGGGGGAAAATATAATCAGGAGTGAGAGAGTGACCTTGTCTAGAGCAAAACTTGTCATAGAATAAACTGCAGAATGACCCACAAATCATTATCAGCATTATACTGTGTCCAAAGCTAGATGTTTAATACCACCTCTTCATGGCTGGCTCTGTATAAATATTAACAGACATACACAGGTTGTGTCAAAGTCACTTACCAAATTAAACCTTTTTAATTTTTATTTAGTCTTGGACTGCTGACTATAATATTTAGGTGGGATTCACACACGAATTTTCTTTGGGGAAAACCATTAACCCACCGTAATTCACTAATCCTGCAATTTTTTTGATGGATAAATTAGAGCACAATGGCACTTTCCAGGATCGTTTCCCTGACACAACACTGTTTATAGTGTTATTTCTTGCATTTTCAAGAGGTCATGTTTAACTGCAATGACATTGTCACCTTCAGCTTTTAAACCATTTTTGCATAAGCTTTTCAAATGAGTTAATACTTTTGGATAAACGTTTAAAATTATATTTTTTTCAAAATGTAAAAAATATGGAACAATATAACATGTATGAAAAAAAATATTTTTTTAAAATACTACGTTTTTAAATCATTTTAAAAGAGCGAGGTTGACAAACTCCCAGCCCCCTAATGCTCCTCTCTCCCTCCCCTCCCCCCATAAAAATTCTGCTTCTCTCATTGTATGGCTAATGCTGGCTAATGTTAGTAAAATGAAGGCTAAACGTGGCGAACAAACATTTTATAAGGTTACTGTAGGGTGTTCCTTGTTTCTGTTTTGTTTGTGCCATTATTTACACAGAAATTAAAATGAACTCTGGTGCCCACTGGTGTACCACAAACATAATTTATGTCTGATATGTGTTGGTAAAAAAAATTCTGTGCAAGATCTCCTCTTGTTTACATCCTATAGCATGTGAGGAAAACATTGTTACTGATTTTCCAAGGATCCCATAGATCTCTTCTGTGCAACCAGGAAGTAGCTGAGATCTCTTAGCCAATTTCTGTCCGTCGTTTTTCTCTGGGCCAAGAGGAAGTCTTTTCATATTCTGTGTGTAAATAAGCATTTTTTTACATTGAACCCCTTAAGGACACAACTTCTGGAATAAAAGGGAATCATGACGGAATATTTCCATCATGTGTCCTTAAGGGGTTAATAAGTTCATTGAAAAACCTCAGTATGTTGATGAAGAGATTAGCCTCTAACTGGCCGCTTTGCAGAGCCAACAGAGAAATTACTGGTGAAGATGCTAGCATCCATGACCTGTTCAGTCAATGAAAGCAGCCTACTTTTGTGAAATACTGCCATGGGCGACGTCAAACTCATGGAGTATGTTTTGCAAACTTTATCTCTTTATTAAGATCCCTGTCAAAAAATGTGACGCAGGTGTTCTAGGATCCAAACTGCTGTCCCAGATTTTACCCTGGACTGTTAGCTCCTGAGTCGAAATAGGCTGCATGGAGGGGCGGATTTACCCTCTCTGCTGCCTCAAGACCAATTTTCTCAATGTGCCCCAACCTGACAAACAATATGAATCATGGTGTATGAGATTGGATGGTTGAATGTGATTAGTTTGGTGTATGTAATTGAAAGGTTGAATGTGACTAGTTTGGTGTATGTAATTGAAAGGTTGAATGTGACTAGTTTGGTGTATGTAATTGGATGGTTGAATGTGACCAGTTTGGTGTTTGTAATTGGATGGTTGAATGTGACTAGTTTGGTGCATGAGATTGGATGGTTGAATGTGACTAGTTTGGTGTATGTAATTGAAAGGTTGAATGTGACTAGTTTGGTGTATGTAATTGGATGGTTGAATGTGACCAGTTTGGTGTTTGTAATTGGATGGTTGAATGTGACTAGTTTTGTGTTTGGATGGTTGAATGTGACTAGTTTGGTGTATGTGATTGGATGGTTGAATGTGACTTGTTTGGGGCTATGTAATTGGAATGTTGAATGTGCATAGTTTAGGTAATATGCCTGTATGATAATTATGACTAGATGGGTGGCTGGATGGCCATCAGTGCAAGGTGGGTGGGGGTAGGTGACATGTTATATGGCCAAGTGTGTGAATGTACCACGGTGAGTGGGTATGACTGGGAGGTAAGATGGGATTCTCTGTCTGGATGAATAGGGCAATATGATTATGAGTATGTAGGAGCTATTTGTGTGGAGTGTTAATGATTGTATGTGAATGACCGGTGTACTTGTGTAGAGTGCTAAGGTGCAAATTTAGCGGAGTGTTCTTATAGAGTGCCAGTGTGTGCACACAAGCATATTTGTGTGAAGTTTTAGCATTCATGTGTGTATGTATAGGCGTGTTAGTGCACTATGTTTCCAATTTCCATCTGCCCCAGATTTCTCTCCATGCCCCTCACACGTTTCTCTCCTCCTTTCCTTAAATATTCTCTCTCCCCATATCCATCTCTTTCTTCAAATGTTCCTCCTTATTTCACTTCTTCCTCTGTTTTCCCCCCTTCCCTTACTAGTTTCCCCCTTCATTCTCTTAATCACTCACTTGTTCCCCTCTTCATTCTCCCAAACTCTCAGTTGTCCTCTTCTTCTTTTTTTCCCATCCATCACTTGTCCCATCCTTTCTTTCTCCCAATCTCTCACCTGTTCTCCTCTTCTTCATCCTCTAAAATAACTGTTCTGTTCTTCTGTCCCCTTGCTCAAACCAATTTTCATCTCTTTATCTCCCCCGCTGGTAGCCAGAAGTACAGGAGGTCACGTGCGATTAACACTGACATCATCTCTGCGCGCTCTCCTGCAGTTCTTTCGGCTGCCTGTGGTGTAGAGAGTTCCTACTATCATGGGTGCAGAGCAAGAAAGGGAAAAGGCTATTCTCCTTCTCGCCTGAGCACTCATGCTGTACCGCCAACGATACAGGGTCCAGCAGTGCCACCCCACTCCAGTGTGCTCACTCAAGGCCGTGGCCTCATGGGAAATCCGGCCCAGGTTGCATGCCTTTCTGTTTTTTTGCACAAACTTTGTACGACTTAACATGCATATTAAACCAGGTTTGTAATTTTAGTACAAAA